TCATCGGCGTAGCTTACCAAGTTTACTCCTGCTGGCGGCGGAGGGAGTTTGGCCATGTAAAGATTAAACAGTGTCGGGGAGAGTACGCCGCCTTGGGGGACCCCCTGTTTAATTCTACGCGGCTTAGACTTGGCGTTTCGGAATTCGGCCGATGACTGACGACCACACAGATAGCTGGTTATCCACCGTTTCGTCCGAGCTGGAAGCGACGAGTCCAGGATGTCTTGGCAGAGGGTCGCGTGGTTCACCGTGTCGAAAGCCTTCGACAGGTCCACAGCGACTAGGACCGTCCTATCACAGGGTCGACGTTGGTTCAGACCCTCGCTAATCTGTGTGGAAGGGTGTTTAATGCTGTTGTCGTGCTGTGCATTTTCCGGAATCCATGTTGGTGTTCGGCTAGCTTCAGATGCTTCGACAGGCTGGGGAGGAGTAGTGCTTCCATGGTTTTTGCCACTGGGGATAGGAGGGAGATGGGTCTGTACGAGTCTCCTGCGTCCGCCTTCTTCCCTGGCTTAAGGAGGGGAATGATCCTACCCATTTTCCACATCTCGGGGATGATCAGGGTGGACAGTGACAAGTTGAAAGCGGCGGTCATATACTCGACTCCCGCAGGTCCTAGCTTTTTCAGCATCTGCATGGAAATTCCGTCTGGGCCTAACGCCTTCGATGACTTGGCGTGGTTGACAGCTGCCTGCGTCTCTTCGGTGGTGAAGCACAGTGGTGTGTCTCGGGGGCGGAGTTTGTGTGCTTTACGTAGCACGCTGCGGCGGGTTTTGTCTCTCTCTGGGTGTGCAATGAATTGCCGGCTAAAGAAGCGCGCGCACGACCGCGGATCCGACGTGGTGGTGGTGCCGAAGGTGAGAGCGACATTGTCCCTACGCTTCGTCGGATTGGAGAGGGACTTGACTGTGGAATTATAACCCTCAGTAAGTAGCATTCTCCTTTCTGTGTTGCCAAAGAAGGGGGGCTGAACACCTTTTGCAGAGAACACCTTTCTGAGTAGGCGGCCTTCGGCCGCACTTAGGGATTATGTCCCTTACTAAGTATAATTTTCATTTCTGTGTTGCCAAAGAAGGGGGCTGAACACCTTTCTGCGAAGGCGGCCTTCGGCCGAACTTAGGGATTATAACTACGGTGACCATCCGTTCTGTTTTTTTGCAGGACCGTACCGTTATTTAAAGGTCTGTCCTGCGTAGTTTTTCAAAACAGAAAACCCCCAAAATGTACTGATTTTTCCCCAAGTGTCCTGCCTTTGTCCCGCATTTTCTTCGACATCTTAAAATTAAATTTCTTAATCGAAATAAAGCAGTGTCGAAACTAATTGATGACTACATAATGGTAAGCTGGTTTTGAAGGTTCAACCAGTCAATGCATTCTAAAGCCAATTTTCTTTTCAAACAAACGTTTTCGTAATTTAACCTACAGTTACTTTGCCGATTTCGATGAAAATTAGTGTTACAACCGACCAAAATCGATAAAAGTGAAATTTCAATCATTTTCTTTTTACAGTAAATGAAAATCTGATGAGAAATGTAGATGTTACGGATTACGATCTGCACAAATTATATACTTTTGCAAAGGGCCCATCAATACCTTTCGAACTGTAGGTCATTTCATGAGATATTGACGATCAACTGAAAAAAGTACAAAAAATATGTTTTTCGAACAAATATCGAAAACACTTTTTTGAAACCATGGGTATTTTTTTCGTGTTCAGCGACCCAACGTTTGCCTAAAAAATTTACTTTACAGAGGTTCATATTTCGTGTAAAGTAATATGTAATATGCCTTATTATAATTTTGTAAATATTCATTACAAAAGGGTTAATACCAAAGAAGCGAATATGATTTATGTTTAAAATTTAAAATTGGATTAATAATTAAGAAATATACACTCTTCGTTATTTAAATAGCGCACTGGACTGTATCCTTAGTAGCTACAGTTTTCCTCGTGTTTGTTTGATATTCATAAATTTTTTATAAAACGTCTACGTCTAAACCCGATAATAAAATTTTTGGAAAATTAAAATAAAAGAAAACAAAGGGGCGACATTTTTTTTGTGTTGACGGTGCTGCGCATTTTCTTCCATATAAAAATGTTGTCAAGCATACTTTGTATTAGAAGAAAATCCAAATAAAGGGTGCGCTATTCAAATGACGAGGAATGTATATGGCTCATTACATCTCAAATCACCCAGGCCGGGAGAAAGTGAATTTAAGTTTGCGATAAAACTCACAGGGATTGTTCCTTGAACAATTTAACGAGACACGTATTTTTTCTTTTTGCTCAGAAATGTGAATTTTTCGAATGATGAATTTTTTTCTTTTTGAGTACGAACGCTTTTTTTTCTCTCTTAATAGCAACTTTTCATGAAATCGTTTATAACTGCCGCAAAAAAGCAAGGATTTTAACGATTTTTTTTTAAATTGCAG